TTTTAAGTCGAACGAATTCAGCAGAAAAAAATTGGGAATGCTACTGCGAATGCTAAGGTCAGCCGAACAGTTGATAAATGGTCAAGATAAAAATGCGGTCTCGATGTAAACAGGAAGTCTTAAAACACTCATACTTGGAAGTGAACAAACAAGAAGTTCAATGTGATGAAAAAAAACAAAGGAGGGATTTGGAAAAACTGCTCATAGGTGAACAGGTCCGAAGAAAAAAAAGTTATTTTCAAATGTGAACGTTTAGAAAAATGCGGAAATAAAACTGCGCAAATATAATGTAAATTATTGCGGATGATTTTTTAAATCGATAAGGTATACAATCTAAAAAATTACGAAAAAACAAAAATTTGCTTCTGTAGAACTGCTCATACAGTACCGGTCAATAAGATATTCAAAAACTTAATGTTCAGTTGATTTTAATAATTTTCAGGGATCGACTGTCCAGTTGCAGACCTCTTTGAAAAATTTAGAGGGCGTGAAACAGACCTAAATTGAAAAGTGTGCATTCACGGAATTTGTCGAAATTTCCTGGTTTTAAAGGTATCTGGTATACTGCTTTTTTGCCCGTTTTTGTACTGAAAACGTGGAAGAAGGCGTCTGTCAGAAATCGGCAAATAGCTGCAAAACTAGGAATTTTTAAAAAGTTTTATGAGTTCAAAATTTACAATCTAGTTCTTTTTTACATCCGCCAAGATTTTATTGTGATCGGAAGCTTGAAAGCCGAACTTCAGTCCCCTGAAAATGGTCAAAATGTTTGAAAATCAACAGAAAAATTCGTTTTTGTGTATCTTATTGTTGGTACAGCAGACGAGCAGGTCCAATGGAGAAAAAATAGGTCCGAAAGTCAGATTAATTTTTTTTCAAGAGTGAATTTTGAGAAAAATGCAACAAAAAAAAATTTCACACAAATAAAATACTGCAAATATTCCACCGAGAAGTTACGGTCAACAGGAAAGTTGATAAATGACAAAAATAAAAATGAAACCTCTCAATAAAAATACAGAAGAAATCTTAAACCACACGTAATTGGACTTAAAAATGAGAAAAGAATGAGCAATGAAAAAAAAAAAATCAAAGTGCGCTTTGAAAGAACTGCGCATACAGTGAAAAACATTTTTTGAACGTTTTAATTGATTTTGCTCATTTTCGGGTCTGGAGCTCGGCTGTCAACTTTCCGATCATTTTGTAAATTTTGGAAAACCTTACACAGACCTTGATTGAAAACTTTGCATTCACTGAATTATTCAAACATTCCTGGGTTTCAGTTATTTGCCGATTACTAAAACACACAATTATTGACCAGTTTTTGTACCGAAACGTTAAAACTAGGTTTTTCCAGAAAAAAAATTGAAAAATTGGAATAAAAACATGTGTCGTTCAGAAATCGGCAACTAGCTAAAAATTTAAAAATTTTCAAAAAAATGCTGTAAATGCATACTTGTAATGCGGGAGTTTCCCGGGCCTCCGCGGGCCTTGCCATTGTTTCTTTTAGAATCAAAAACTTTAGACCAACTAAATCAAATATGATATAACTCAACGAATGCTATAAAATGATATTATTTGGAGAACTGTGTCTTGTCAGTGAATAAATTACAGACAAAAAATCGTGTCCCGGCCCGGGCCCACGCGGCAAGGGCCAGCCACTTTATGACTTTTAACTTTGTTCGCAAGCAAGGTACAGTTCTCCAAATAGTATCATTTTGTAGTACTCGTCGAGCTCTATTATATTTGATTTAGTTGGTCTAAAAATTTTGATTCTGAAAGAAATAATGGCAATGCCCGCGAAGGCCCGGATTACAAGTATCTGTGAATGCAAATTTCTCCATCTAAGTCTGTTTTACACTCTCCAAAATTTTGTTACCGATCGGAAGCTTGACAACCGAGCTTCAGATTCTTGAAAATGGTAATAATGGTCTAATATCAACTGAGAGTTACGTTTCTATTCATCTTATTGATCGGTACAGTAGACACGCAGGTTCGAAAAAGTTGAAATAACAAAATCAAATTGGATCTCATAGCCTTAGAAAAATGCAAAAAAACGAACACAAAAAAATTTAAGAAAAATACTTCGAAGGTCACCCAAAAAATTGAACAATGACAGAAATAAATAAGTGAACTTCTCAGAATAAAAAAAACAACAGGAAGTCTTAAAGCACACGTACTAGGACCTAAAACAAAAAAAGTACGTAAAAACAAAGGTGCGCTTTGAAAAAGTGGTCTTGGTGGGGGATTTGAGATAATCGCTTTTGGGTTTCTTTGTTGTCTACTGGGACCAAAAAGGAAGAGGGTTTACATACAAAGTTATCAGAGGCCCCGAGTCTAAACGTACATAATTACACTCTTCTAGTCGTTTTCCTTTTTTTTCCTTTTTCTTTTCTCGCTTTGTTGTTTTTTTATTCTCTTTTTAGCTCTCTTCAGAGTTCTATGAATCGTGAGAATTTCTAAAGAGAAAATTTTCTTTTTCTTGAACACATGAACTCAAATGGGAAAACATGGAAATGAGAAATGAAGAAGAAAAAAAACTAATATTTGTATTCTGAATCCGTTACGTTCTCTGGAAAAGGGTAAAAACACAATTTGTGTGTTTGTTTCATATAATTTTTTCGCATTTTCCAGAACCAATCTAACAAATTGAAAATACCGAAATTGTTATGTTAGATGTATGACAACAACAGTGTCTGTCACCTAATTCCCACGAGAACGCTTTTATTTTTGATATGTGTTTTTGCACAACTTCCGCGTTCAAAATCCCAACTCGACAATTTTTGGAATGTATATGACAAACTTCTTCCGGCTCCACTTTTTTGGTCCAAATGTCATAGATCTGTTATTTGAAACAATGCGAGGAGCTTCCAATGTTATCTTGCGACATGATTTATTTTGTTATTGCAGTGTAAGAATTTTCTTTTCTTCTCTTCCAGAGTATCCTGACATTTAAAATATTGAAGCACTGGTAGAATGATAAGAGAAGTGTGCGAATTGATGGTTGTAACATTGTGAGAGCATTTCATGTCGTTGACCCAAAATGCTTGACGTCATAGAGGTAAAAAGGGACCTCTGGAATGTGTCAACATTGTAAAAAAGCAATTGAAAAAAGTGGAATTTCTGGGCCAGTCAAAGAAAATGACCTTAAAGTTTGTTGGGGTATTTGAAGAGAACATTGATGTTTTAAGAGTATCGAAGCTATACAAAAAGAACTTCAATCGCTGGAAAAGGAAGGGATTTCTTTGTTTTTGAAGTCTGAAACTTTAAAAGAAAACGAACTATAACGCAAACATCTAAAATTTAAGTTTCATAGAACATGATTGTGCTTGAAACTTGCTTTCTAAAAATATTCTATTTGATTTTCCTGCAAAAAAGATTATTTGATTAGGTGAAACGTGAAAAATCATACCTGAAAGCATAATTGATTCATAGAAATCAGAAAATTGAATTTTTCTTGGTAAATATTTCCGGGCAATTCAATAAATCGGATTTTGAATTTTCCTGGAAAAATTTTTCACTTCGAAAATGGCAAAATTGGTTCAAGAAAATAATTTGGGAGAAAGCAAAAACATACACATTCAAATCGGTCAAAAAATTGTTCAAAAGCGGAAGGAGAAATTTAAGCCATTTCTTGTAAAAAGTTCTGGAAAACTAGAAAAACGTTTCTTTCAAAATTTAAAAAATTCAGGGAACGTCGAAAACACAGATTTTCAATGTTTTGTTTTTTCGGATTTTTGGAATATTTCAATTTTCATAATTTCGGGGTTTTGGAATTCCAAAATTTTTCGATGTTCATAATTTTCTGATTTCGGAATTTTGGAATTTCGGAATATTTTGAATCTACAGAATTTTTGAATTTTCATAATCTCGGAAATTTTAAAGAAAGTTTCAATGATCATAATTTTGGGATTTTCGAATATCGGAACACTTCAGTTTTCATAATTTCGGGAATTCGAAATTTCTGAATAATCCGATTCGCAATATTTCGATAATTTGGAATCTTCAGAATTTTTGGATTTTCATGATTTCGGGATTTTGGAGTTTTGGGATATTTCGACTTTCATAGTTTGCGATTTCAGAATTTTGGAAAATATCGATGTTTATAGTTTTGGGATTTCGGAATTTCGGAACATTCCCACTTGCAAAATTTCGGTATTTTGGAATTTTTGGAATTTTTGGGTTTTCATGATTTCTGAATTTCGCCTCACAGAAACGCGACAAGTCGGAGGAAAAAAATCAAGTGTAGTGCTGCTCGAAACTCGATACGGAATTTTCGCATGCGCCTTTGTCATACTGTGTTCCAACATGCTCTAATTTGGAAAACAGTCCGCTCTAAACAGTTTTGGGAGGGATTATTCGATGCTGGGAAATCAAAAAGTCTTCAGAGCTCAAAAAATTTGGAAAATTAATGAATTCACTTAATATATGTATCCAGTTCCATTTCCAGCCGTTCGTTTGACAATGATTTCTGATTTCGAAGCATTTTCACTATTTCAAACGATGCTTGAGCAAAAAATCAGAATCTCATTAGCAACTAATCTCTTTGAACGTTCAAAAAACATGAACATAATTCCCAAGTCTAGCCTTCTCATCATTTCTATGTAATCTCCAAGCTCCGACTTGATGATTTAATTTCTGAAAATTTCACACCCAACTTTTTTAAAGTTATATTTTCTCTTATAATCATCTTTCCCAGTTTTAGCAAGCAACGCTGTAAATGTCACATATCACAAACTCACCGAGACGTGAAATACTCGCTATACATAACGATGACTATCGAAGAAACTCATAAAATGTTTCCAAGCCGTTTCGTCAACACCAGCGCAACAGTTGGCACCATGACACGTCATTTTAGTGATACTGAAAGTTTACACTGCCAAACTTCAGCGGGATGGCAGCTGGGCTAGAAGAAGGGAAGACTTGATAAGGAAAAAAGTACAAATATAAGACAGCGAAGGGTGGAAAACTCGAGATTCTTCAATTTCCAGTCTTATCAAAAAATAATGGCGCAACCAATTTTCAACCCAGTTAGTTTTTTTTCCTATTTTTAAGTCCTCATAAATCCATTTCAGTCCGTCCCGGGATCCTATGCTCTTCAATACGGAGTTCGCTCTGGACTTCAAATCGCTGTCAACGGATTGGTGAAGCATAAGAACAAGTGAGTTGAGATCTTGTCATCTAAAAGGAACCAAAAAATAAGACAACACATTTTAGGGACTTCGTCATCAACTTGCTCTCTGGAGGAAACATTGCTCTTCACATGAGCTTCAGATGGGAGAAGACCAAGTCGATCGTATTGAACGCCAAGATTGACAACGCTTGGGGAAGCGAGGTACTTTAATTTTGGGAATTATGGAATCAAAAAGGCATTAAATTCTATTTCAGATCAGCCACTCCAACCCACTCCACCACGACCAGGCCTTTGACCTTCAAATCCGCGTCTACCCAGGATACTTCCACGTGACCACTAACGGAGTTCTCCTCGGTGACTTCCCACATCGTCTTCCATTCGAGAGCATCCAAGCTATTGCGTTGGAGGGAAATGTCCATATCAACAACATTCAATTTTCGCAATTCCACTAAACTTTTCAATTCCGCTTTATTTTTTTTTCTCAATTCAAATAAACACATGCACAGTCTTGTGATCATGTCTCCTTATCACATTTTTGAAGAAAGAGAGAGAGGCATACACGGAAATGCAAAATGTAGGAAATTTTATTAGTTTGACAACAACTCTAAAACAATGAATTCAAGCATAAAGAGCTTAAAAAATTATACAAATCGCTGAGAAACTGACTGAGACTACAAGTACGAGATTAGTGAATCGAGTGGGTAAAGCAAGATGTGGGGGGGGGGGGGGGTAAATGACTGAGGTGCGTTTTACAAATTAAAAATTATTCAGGAAAAAATACAAGAATTTAAATAATAGGTAGTATGTTCAATATGAACAAAATGTTGGATTTTAGCAAATAAATTATAAATCGGTCTGAGAAAGTCTTTGAACAGAGTTGTTGTGTGCTGGAACTCGATGAGGGAAGGTGGACTGTAAGATATTGTTTTCGAATGTTGAATATCGATTTTTCAAAAAATTAACATTCAGAACCTTTCACAGGTATACTCCTTAGAACTCATATCTATCTTTTTTGTGATTTGAGGAAATCATCAGGCACCAATGAAGCAAGAGTCGGGCAAAAACCTTCTTAACGCTTGTAGCTTGTTTTGTAAGCGGAAAAATAACACTAGGTATGCTCTAGGCACATTTTGGGGATATCTAGGACATATTCATTCGGCCTAGCTTTGACCTACAGTACTGGTCGATAAAATGTGCTTTTTCAGTTCATTTTCCGCCATTTTTACCATTTTCAGAAGTCTGGAGCTTGGCTATTAAATGTTCGATCACTTTGAAAATTTTAAAAGGTGTTATACATACCAAAATTGAAAACTTTGCATTCAAAGAGTTTTTGAAAAAATCCTAGATTTTCAGCTATTTGTCGATTTCTGCAAAACACCAGTTTTTTCTAAGTTTTAGTACAAAACGGACCAAAAGGGGGGTCTTTCAGAAAAGGGTAAATAGCAGAAAAAAAGGAATTTTCGAAAAAATTCTGTGAATGCAAAATTTTCAAAGCTATCTGAAACTTGACAGCCGAGCTCTAGACTCTCGAAAATGGTCAAAATAGCTAAAAATCAACGGAAAATACGTTTTGATACAACTTACTGACCGGTACTGAATCTGGTAGCATATAATTTTTTTTGCCGTAATTATAAGCATATGGCTTTCATATTTTCGCCATTTGAATCATTAGTTGGGCGTCAGTAACGCTCAAAACTGTACTTTCAAGCGGTGAGCATGATCCGGGCACAATTCAGGCATAACTGGATATTCGTTTTGCCAAGCCAGCTTCGATATACAGTACAAACAGATCACGAAGGGGTCAGTCTATACAAAGGCCTTTTTTGATATATTAATTTTAGATTACCAAAGAAAAGAAATCCCAGAAATTCTTCTAAAAATATACTCACCAAATCCGTCAACTCTCTTAGAACCACAGTATCCACAAGATCTTGTGCACATCGCTCAACAATCTTCACAATGTCTCGCTCAATCGGCAGCTTTTCATTTCCAGCTTTCGGTAGCAGATTGACTGGGTTCTCCACTGCAAATCTCTTCTTGTATTGCGAAATCAAAGCGAACAGCTCCTCATGAGCTTCCTGCAGGATCACACCGTTATAGAATGGTATTGGTCGGAGCTTTTTGTAGAGTTCCCGTAGTGCTGGGTCCGTCATATAGCATCGTTCAAAATCTTCATATTGGAAGTATCGTGCTATCTTCTCTCGGAAAATCATCATTCGGTCTCGAGCGTGTGATGGATGGTTAGTTAAATCACTGACCAATGGTAACTGGAAGTTTCGGATCTTTTCTTCGGCAGCTTCTTCCTCTAACTGCTTTGCATTCGCTAGCATTTCTCTCTGGAATTCAAGAATTGTAGGGTCTTCGGTGGCTTCGAACTGATCCAGAAAATCCTGTTGAGTGACATGCCCAATTTTTCGGAGTGACTTGTCAAACCATTTCCGATTGCTAGTCCACCAGGTGTGATCGAAAAATGCATACTTCACCAGAAACGATCGATCGGGAATTATTTGTTGGTATTCTGGCAAACATAGAATTTGAAGCCGAAGTCGCGCCGATTTCTCTGTCAAATCCTTGTACTGAGCTTCGAGAGCATGTAGTTTTGTGTTTATTTCAACTCTAGTGCTGGTTTGTAGTCTGGGTTGTTGAATCTTCTTCTTCAAAGTGTCCATTTCAATTTCCAACATTCGCTTCACAATCAAATCATACTTTTCTGAATCCATCAAATATATCGTTTCAGGGATGAAAGACAGTTCAAGGGTCTCCAACTCGTTGATTGGTCCGATAGCAGGCATTTCTTGCATTGTAGTCTCACAGAAGCGTCTCTCTGGATACCAAACACGTCCGGGAGTGTTGTCGATTGGAGGAAGAAGGTCCAATGGGTATAAGGGGACATCGTTCCCAAGCCACGGCTTCATGTCTCGCTCTTCCGGTGAGTAGTTGGCGTCTTCAGGATTCTTGTAGTCTATGATGTCAACTGTGGTTCCTGGTCGAGTCCATGGACGTCGAGGGGCTTCTGGGAGTTGAATGTCAAGATCCTCGAATGCGGTAGGTTTGATATCTTCTGTGGGTTTAGAGCCAGATTCAGCTGGTTGGGTCTCTGGTTCTTCCTGGGCGAGCGAATCATCTTCTGGAACATCAAGAACTTCCTGAACAGCCTCGGCTGGAGTTGTTGGAATGTCCAGTTGAACTGGAACACTTGAAGTCTCTGGAGTTGGCTCCACACTGTTTTCGGAAGCAGCAGTTTCCACTGGTGAAGGTTCTTGAGGCGGTAGTTCTAATGGTTCGGGAGCAGGTGGTCCAGAAATTTGGTCTGGAGCAATTTCCGACTGATCTTGAGCTGGTTCGTCCTGATTGACATTTTCAGGGGGTGGCGAGTTGGCCAGCAATTCCTCCGGTGGTGGATTTGTCGCTTCCGGCTCAACAGGAACATTTTTCGGAGCTTCATGGGTCTCTTCGAGAGCTTTCTCTGGTGCTTCTTGGGTAGTGGATTGGTCAGCAACTTCTTGGGCAATGGATTGCTTATCATCGGCCTTAGAAGTCTCCTGTTGAGCAGCAAAATCAATTGGAGCCGGTTCCTGTATGCTCTCTTCTGGCGCTACAGGATCATCCACTTCCATTTGCTCAGGCTCTGGAATACTGACTTCTGGCAACTGAGTTTCTGGCACCTGAACCGTCGGTTCCTGCTCCATTGGTTCATCAACCTCCATCATTTCTTCTACTGCAGGCTCAGCATCTCTCTCAGGGACATCTCCCTGCTCCGGTTCTTTCTCTTTGTACTCCTCTACAGTAATCTCCGGTATAATTGGACTAAACTTTGGCGGTACCAATTCCGGTGTGGCACAATTCGGAGTATAAGATGTTGTTGGTAGATCACCAACACTTTCCAACACGGGCATCCCAACAAAACTCTCCTCTTCCTTCTCCTCATCTTCATCTTTCTCGTTAAGTGCTTCCAATTTCTTGGCTTCTCGGTCTGCCTTCCGCTTCGCAGCCTGTTCTTTTTTCTTCATCGCTGCTAGTTTTGCTTTTGATGGAGTTGGCACTTTCTTTTCCGGTGTTGGCTTGGGAGTTTTCTGAAAATACATGAGAATTGAGAGAAATGGTGATAAGTCTGAAATTGGAAACATTTCCGCTTTGGTAGAAAATCGGAACTAGAATTTCATCTAGTACATATGATTTTAAACATGAAGAAAATAAAAACTATGGAAGTAAACGTAATCTCATAGATTTCGCAGGTGGTTTAGCATCAAAACTCGATTTTCTAGCACAAAAGGGCGTAATCTCACACAACGTGTGGAGTTAACTTCTGAAATCAAAAACGCAAAGCGTTGAATCGGGAAATTTACTCGGGCCATTTTTGAAACTTCATTCTCTCTCTCAAAAAAAAAAAAAGCAAAAGCATTCAAACTTCCGAAAAGATGGTTTTAAAAATTGCTCTAAAAATAGCTGTTCGTTCTGCTCATTGTAATTTTCTTGGGGTTATATTTTTTTCCTATATATTTTTTTGTATCTCAATATACAGCACTAGTCAATAAAAAATACAAAAGCTAATTTGCAGTTGATTTTTCGCCACTTTTGACTTTTTTCAGGAGACTGGAGCTCGACTATCAAAAGTCCGCCCACTTTGAAAATTTTGAATAATGTGAGTCAGGCCCAGGTCAAAAATTTCGCATTCACAGAATTTTTCGAAAATTCCTTATTTTTCAGCTGCTTGCCGATTTCTGAGAGACAATGTGTGTTTTAAAAATCTGAGCAATTTCTAGTTATTTTTTCTTTTCCTAACCCTCCAAATCTCTCATACTTTGGCTGATGTACTCGGAACATTCGGATCATCCTCCTCTTCCTCACTATCCGACTCCTCCTCAATAGTGTAATACCGTTTCTTCCTCGTACTCCCCAACGGACAGTCTTTCTTGGCCTTTGTCGCGTGCTCATGCCATCTCGCCTCGGTCATGACCTGTGCCATTGTCTTCGTGGTCTCTCCCCGATGCACGGCTGCGATATCGCGGCGCGTCTGGTCGAATCTTGCCATCACGTCCACTGTATACACAAGTCTGTCCAGTGTGTTGCGCACTGCAAAAAAAAGAGCGAGGTCAATAGTCCAAAGGAAAGGAGAGCAGAAGAGATTGCCAGACATTGGGATTAGCAATGTTCAAAGAGAAAACTTACCGATAGTGGCATCATCTTCAACTGGAGCTGCTTGTATTGTGTTTCGAACGTTTCGTTTCGGACGTGTGGAAGTCATATTTACCCAACTGGAAAAAAACTCTGATTTTTGAAGGAAAGAAAGGAACAATGATAAAAAGAAGTGTGAGATGAATAGACACAAAAATAAGAAGAACAAAATTACAATGATTATCGAAGAAGTGTCATTAACAGTTTTGAAAAAAATTGAAAAATTAAAAAGTCTAGCTCTGAAAGACAAAAAAACCTAAAGAAATAGTTTCAATCTAAAACAAAATAAGATTATCTTCTCTAACAGCCTCTTAAAAGTACATTAACGGTCTTTTCTATTAGTACCACTACACAAAGTTTGATAAAGGACAAAAGTAAACCACATAAAACGTGCGGAATAGCGTACGGAGAATCAATCGAGTGAGGTGTCATATGTTGTTTGCGCGTTTGATGGGCGGGCCAGCAGCTGCCACGGGCGCAGTTTGTCCGAGGAAATGGCCCAAGGACGTCTTCTCCCTTTTTCGCCTAGGAGGGAAGACTTTTAAGCAGAAGAAGAAGAAGAAGAAGGAGGAGGAAAGTGGTTTTGCGATTTTGCAAAAAACAAATACAATATCAAATTTGATAAGGAACTGAAGAGATAATGTAAAAATAGGAAATAAAAAAATTGAGGTGAGGAAAAAAGTCACAGAAATTTTGGAAGTGTGAAAGGGAGAGTCTATTAGTGAAAATATAATCAAAATATGATAAGAGCTCTCACCGCCCGCCTCGTCTTATCCGGTTTAATCCGCTCTTTCTCTCTCACAGACACGACACACATCGACAGATATAGAAGCAAAAAATATAGATTCCTTGGCAATACCAACACAATACCTTCGTTTTTTTTCTTTTCTCATTTGCCTAGACACCAATCTTCACTTAACAAATTCTTCTCTCGTCATTTGTTCCCAAGTAATTTTTTTTAGTGCCTTGCTCGTCTGGGTTGGGAGCGCTAAACTCTGCTATAAAACTCAGTAGAGCTGTGAACAAGGAGAGTTTCGAATTCCTAGTTTTACAAATCCTCCACCAATCCTTAGGACTAAGTCCAAGCTCTCCTAATGTTTGCCAACCTCCTTGATAATTTTCATGCATGAGCACTCGTTCCCATAGCATCTATCAGTAAGCAATAATTTGTCTTTTCGATTATACCAAACTCAGCTCTTCAGATTTTGGATTTTTACGAATTTCTATGCGTAAAGAAGAGTTTTGCTCCCTGAAAAGCATACTTGCAAAATCAGGGCCCGGCCGGGCCGAAGATTTCCAGGGCCCGTGACCCCTCGGCCCGGCCCGCTCGGCGGGCCCGGGTTCTCCAAATTTAAAATTTTTTTGAAATTTCAGACATTTTTTTCAAAATTTTTTTGTGAAAAAATCATTTTTTACGGACACTCTTATTTTGCAAAATTTTTTACGTGACAGAAAATTGTTGCAAGTATGCTGAAGAGTATATGTATGATCACGTTTAGGTTGATGGATAATTAGTGGGTACAGCTGAATCTGTCATTAGAGCTAGAAAGTATTTTGTAGTTTTCTGTTGGAAATAAAAATTCGGGTTTGAGAAACCTGTAAAATATAGAATGCTTTGTCTCAAAATAAAAATAACAATTCGCTTTTTTTCAATTTTTTTTTGGTTGATAAAGTTTGAAAAAATTAAGGCATAATTTTGTTGTAAAAGTCGTACCTCCATAACTTGTCAACTAAATTCCTAACCGCGTTCCTCAGCCGGAAGTGATGTGGAACATCAAATATTTTTCGAACTTTTCAAGTGACTTCCTTTATAAAAATTTTCAAAAATCTTAATTTAAAAGTTTTACCAACTCAAATATACACTGAATTTATCAAATTTCTGAAGATAAGTGAAATTTTTTAGATGGTTATAAAAAATTCATGAATAATTTTTGAAACAAAAAATTTGCTCATCTGACTGTGGTAAGAATTGGGATCGTGTACAGTGCTGACCATGAATATGAGATAAAACGCGTTTTAAGTTCATTTTGACAATGTTCAAGAGTCTGGAGCTCGGCTTTCAAGTGTCGAATCACTTTGAAAATTCCAGAGGTTTTGAAACAAACCTATATTGAAAACATTGCATTCACAAAGATTTTGAAAGTTCCTAGTTTGTCAGCTTTCCGCCCAATTCTGTAAAACACCGTTTTTCGCGTTTTCAGTACCATACCGGGTCAAAAAGAAAGACTTTCAGAATCGGCAAATAGCTGAAAAAACTAAGACATTCCAAAAAATTGACATTTGACCACCGATCTCCACTTTTGAAAATGGTAAAACTCAATTGAAAACACTTTTTTAAATATTTATCGGCTGCACTGTAGAAACATTTCAATTAGAATTCCGAGAAAATAACTCAATTTTCTTTTTGTCCATAGCATTTTTTCTGAATTTCCTACATGACACGAATCCCTGTTTCTATGTATATCTTAAAATTTTTCATTACAATCATCACAAATAGATTTATCACAGCTGAAAACTTTTTCCATTCCCATTTTCGACCTTTTCTCTCAGAAAAACATACTCTAGTCTGCCTAATCCACTTCCTCATGTTTATAAATTCCATTTCCACAAAAAGCAACAAAAATTGTCGAAATGTTGGTCACTCTTTTATCCTTTAATCCATCACCCATCATCACCAACTGTCAGGACAAAAGGAAATTGGAAAATAAATTGAAATATAAAATGCAACATTTGGGGTCTGCCCTCAATCCATGGCTTTTTTTTTCATTTTTCAATTGTTGCCACTTTTGAGAGGACAGCAGAAACCACAGAAACTTTCATTAACCAAATGCGCTAGACGATCCTCATGCAAAGGGAATTCAAAGAGAGAGCTACTTTATCCCCTTTTTGTCTTCCTCCCAAAGCAAAAAAGAATGCTTTTAGTTATAAATAGACAAGCAAAGTTTGCTGGTATCAAATTCTCTGTTTTTCCACCCGGTTTCCGTGATGGTCTGGCGCGTTTTGTGTTCTTTTTTAGAGAGCAGAAAATGCAAAAACCACGAGTCCGAAGATTTAAAATTAGAGACGACGAGGATGTTTCTCGAAATGTGTCGTCATTTTTTATCCGACTTGGAGTTTTCTGGTGCTCTTAAATAGATAAGACATAATCCTTTTTGGTTACAACGAACGCCACAAAATCTCTAAGCGAGTTTCATGGTCAGCTAATTTTAGAAAGTGGTAATTTCCAAAAATTTTGATTTCTAAATTCCCAAAGAAAAAGAAAAAATATAATTTTTTTGATCTAGAGAATCTCATTTCCTGTCACATACCTCTTCATCTGCTTGTTTCCGTTTGCCCCAATTTAGGAGTATTGTTTTTAATTCAAAGAAACCTTTTCCACTTGATCAACTCCCCTCAACTCCTATCTAGCTTCCTATTCATCATATTTACAAGGATGAACGTTCGCAATTTTTTTTTCTCGAAACAAGACATACTATTTTGATATGCATGGCTGCAACACGTACTAGGGTCATCCTCGAAAAACCATCAAAACATTTGTAAGAATACGAGAGAGATGATCTAGTCGAATATGTGACATGGACATTATCCAGGACCTTGTTCTTTGGCTAGCTAACGAACCTTGTCAGGCATCACATTGGTTTCCGATGTGTCCTATTTTCCGGACATTTCTTTTATTCTTTTGACCCTTACAAGTTCATATAACAAATCTCATATTCATGTTTCTCAGTTTTCAGATTCGAAAATGGTATTCAAAACTCCAGAGGACCCATTTGTCTACTATCATCTGGGTGAGTCAGGGGTGAGAAAAAATAGAAAAAGTAAAAAAATAGGCTAGGGGAAATCGTCATGGTGACGCTTCGGAATTATTATAATTTCGTTTTGGTCAGGTGGAAATTTTTTCGTGGCGCGCTTTCTCTTTTCTTTATCCATTTTTTTTCTCTAAAAAGTCTCATTCAAGTTTTGAGAGTTGTTCGCTCCATCACTAGTGAATTTTCTGAATTTTAACAGATAACGATGATTTAAAAGTTTGAAAATGGATTAAAGGCGCTTCAGGTTTGAAATAACGTCACCACAATATTTTGAATTTTTTCAAGATTGCGTAATTCAATGAATTGTTACTTATGCTCCAAAACCGTTACTTACGTTTCAACGTGGATTCCATAAACACTTTAACTTTCCCTCAAAACCTCAACTTTGAGTCCACACATCTCACTTCCTTAAAAATATATCAACAAGTGCTCAGCTGATAAAGTATTGATGAAAGTATGTTAAACAATTTATCAGTTGACCACTTTTTCATATCTTCTACAGTAACCCAGACAAATTGGATCAAACTTGAGAAAAGCGTTTACATCTACTAGCATTTGTTTCTTTTGAGCTCAATTGTCTCCATTTCTCTTAACGTTATCAATAATCTGTCAACTAATAAAGTACTGATAATATTATGATCAACAATTTATCAGTATACAAGTTTTCAATATCTTTGACAAGAACCGAGAATTCTGTTTACGGTAACTACCAGAACTTGTTTCTTTTTTATTCTACGGTAATCTAAACTGCCTGTTCTCAAGATTTTATCTTTTTTTGTGCCTCCTTACTTGTTAAATTCTTTTTCTGCCTTTTTTGAATCCTCTTCATTGTTCCTAAACTCACCCTACTTCCTTCTCCTTCTCCGAAAACCACTTCCTGCCGGAAACCAGATGTTAAAATTGGAAGAAAAAGCAACCAGGATTTCAAGGGATATTGGTGTTTTGGGACAACTCGTGTTGACCCATAGAACAAAAGATGAGAGACAAAGAATCCATATTGATGCTGGACGCCAAACGATGACAGCGTCTTTGAGAGACAACACTCGAAAAACGACACGAACCCAGAAAACCCCCTTGTCTTCATCTGAATTCCCAATGTCCGAGATGAAATGTGAAGAGTCAGTGAGCTCTACCATTTAGACTTCTCCAGTCGCACCCCAACAGCTTCCTTCCTTCCATGCGCTCCCATTTTGTGCTAACTTAGGCAGAAGACGACTTTTGGGGACCCCCCCCCCCACACCATTTTTCCTTCTCTCCCTATTTTTTTATTGTTCTTTCTTCTCTCTTTCTTGCTTTTTCGCGACGTTGCCTCGACGAAACCCATAAGCTTTCATCTCCCCCCCCCCCCAACAGCATTCAGTTAGTCTTACATCTTTACTCTCCACCCCATTTTTCGTTCCACATTCTTCTCCAACTCACTTCGTTTATTAGATCGAGTTAACTAAGAGACGCGATTATGATTGGCGGCTCCGCCTCATGTACGAGACCACTCCATCAAGCGTTGATCCCGTTGGCGGTTAGTGTCCCACCGGCGGCTTTGTTCATAAGTGGAAAGACTGGTGGACGATCTGAGAGTAGGTTGCTTTGAAAGGGGTCACAATCTTTTTTTTTCAATTTTTTAAACTCTCCAAGTACTTTTTCAGTGGAAGAAGAGCTCGACACCCAACCAGCCCTGGAACGAACACGTCCACCATCCATTGAGACTTTGTTTGAAATCACCAACTTCTCCAGACGCGAAATTCAACAACTCTATCGGTCATTCAAAGAGGTTTGTTAGTTTTTCTTTGGGTCATATAGAAAAAATATTTTGTTAAAAATTCATGTGGTTGCGGACACAGTTTATAAGCTTTGCTGTCGTCAGTAAGATACTAGGGATGACCTAATGGGGGTACTTGAGCTGGAAAAATACGTCATGTGATCTAGGAGAAAGCAAAATTTAATCTAAAATAAACGAAGGGTAACCTAAAAAGGGGAATAGTAATTTTTGAAAAATTTAGGTAATTTGTGATTGCTCAAATTGCTCATTTCTTTTAGAAGCAATTGAAAACTTGTCAATTGATAGAATGTTAGTCATCATATCAACTACAATTTATTAATTGGCAAGTTTTCTATATCTCATGGATATCTAGATACCGTATTTTCTCTAATATATAGAAGTCCACCTACATATACCTTCAACTGTGAGCTCAATTATCAAGATTTCTGTGACTGATATCAGAAATATGTCAAGTAATAAATTGTTTATCATATTACCAATATTTTATCAGTTGAAAAATTTTCAATTTCTTCCACAGAAATGGAGATAATTGAGCTCAAAATTGAAGGGTTGGAGGGCTTCTAGTTAAAAAATACGGTATTTTGGTCTTTATGAGAGATGTCAAAAATTAATCAACTGATAAAATGTTGATCATCAAATTAGCAACAATATATTAATAGGCAAAATGTTCATCTGTCTTACAAAAAAAGATAATTGAGTTTGAAGAGCATATATTCATAGTAATTAACGAATTTATCGCTCACTCCCGAAACCAATTCCAGCTTTGGCCCAACGGAACAGTGGCGCTAGAACAATTCCACGCTTTGTATGCAACAGTCTTCCCAGAGGGTGACTCCAAGGCCTACGCCGAACTCGTCTTTCGGAACATAGACCAAGCTCGAAACGGATCTGTCACTTTCTTGGTATTACATATATTTTATATTCCTCCCAATCCATAAAATTCTAGGATTTCATTACGAACTACTCAAAAATTTCAAAAGGTTCGCTTGATGAGCGTCTGGATTGGATCTACACTCTATATGACACAAATCGCATAGGATCTATTGGCTACAATGAGATATTTAATGTTGTGAAGTGGGTTTTTTGCGATTCTAGAAAAAACCGCAAAAATCATTTCATTGCTGCTGCTTCAGATCGATGTATCAGATGGTTGACGCGTCTTTGAAACCAGCTGTGCTTGCCACCATATGCCGACAACATACGAAAGTTGTGTTCAAGGTACGGAAACTTTTATTTGAGAAATTGTAGTGACATTTGAGCAAATTGAAGTGAGACTCCGTAGAAACAATTCATACCTTGTTTCCTCTGATAGAAGTCGACCCAAACCGTCAACTTTCATCTCGATTATCTCGATTCCTGTAAAAGGTATGAAAAATCTGTCAACTGATGAATTATTCATCATAAAATAAGAAATATTTTATCAATTGACACAATTTTGATATCTTTCATAGAAATCAAGATAATGAAGCTCAAAGTTGATGGGTTGATGAGCTTATATTTGAGGTAATACGGTAGTTTCATCAAAGCTAAAAACAGTTGCTTTAAAATTGATTTTTTGGAATTTCTTTTGTGTTACGGTATGCATTACGACGTGATGGGGTATAGTGTATAGTGTTGAAACAGCGTGTGGCAATCGTGCCAGCTGGCGTTACTGTAGCTCAGCCATTGGCACGCCCTCCAGTTCAATTAGTCGATAAGATTGTACGAATTTTCGAATTTCGAGATAATTATTTTTTATGTTCCAGATATTTCAACATTATCAATGACTTGATAAAGTCTAATTGCCCATTCTCCAATAGTCTAGCCAAATATAATAACCAAAATTTTCCCTTCAAATCTGCACGTACAAGACTTTTGATAAAACAATGAAACGGGGCAATTAAAAGTGTTTAGTTTCTGTAAGTCACAAAATGTTGTTTACGCCCCAATTTTGTGACTTGCACTGGATGATTCGAAACTGATAGCATGCAATTGATCAAGAACCGTTTTTTTTCTCGAAGTTTCAATTGTTTTTCAGAATCTCAACATCTCCATCGGCGGAAAAATCAATAGGGAAGAGTTCATGCAGCGTTGCCGTTCGGACCCTGAAATTGTGCAATCGTTGGAGCTCTTCGGTTCATTTTCCACCAGTCTACTGCGTATCTAGTTTTTAATATCCCAATTTTTTCCCTTGTTGATCTCTTTTTTATTATTGTGTTGTGAATCTCAAGTTGTGCTAAATGGAACTATTCAATTGATTTGTATTCCTGAAAAACAAAGAAATCAAACTTTTAAACAATTTATTTAACATTCTACAAGAACGAGAGAGGTGATGATAAAAATTAAGAGACGAAGAAAAGGGTTTTTTGTCGATGGTTCTTACAGATACACCAAGTTTGAGCCGAGCATAAGAATGTGAAAGAAAATCAATATTATAGGATAATAGGATATATGTTTGGATACCATTAACTCTAACCAAAATTATGTTTTCAAGAAAAAACACATTCATCACAATTTTAACACTCTATACCGATTTTTAGAACCAAATTGCATACAAAAAAGGGACCAAGGGGCGGGGGAAAATTGAAGGGGCGAAGTTTTAGCACCATTTGGATGTTTCTGGGTGCTGCTTAAATATGATTAAGACGTGTGGGGAGGGAATTTCTAATCTCAGGATGGGGGTGGGGGGGGAAGGAGGGGAAAAAATCTATACCGGATTATTTTGTACCCTAGACAAAGAAAATACACAAGCACACCATGTCCAATTAAAGGACAAAAAAAGAAAAAAAAAGAAAAAGGGAAAACAATTTTGATGGCAAGGAAGTTATTTGGGGGCTGGGGGGTCGTTGTCGTTGTTATCCAGGATTTTTTGGAAGGGGATGAGTTGGCAAAGAAGATAGTCTATGGCAATGAGCACACACGAGCAGCACACGTTGGGTGAACAAGAAAGTCAAAAAAAAAGGAAAAAAAATCAAATAAAACGATTAGTGGATGAAAATCAGGGAAGTTTTTTTGTTGGGGAGGGGGAGGAGACGATATAATCTGGGGGCAATACTAATTCAAAATTATAGAAAGAAAAAAACTGACTAAACGAAAAGGAAAACAAAAAATAACATCTCCTATACCCGGGCACTTTTTAATATCGTACCAGTACGTAGTCGAAACCAAAAAATGGGTATGTGCAATATGTTTAGGATGCAGGTGGTGTTTTGAATCTACCAGTACGGACCATCGGTACTAAGCGCCTTCCACGACGCAAATTTCCCCCAATCGTTATAGTCGAGTTTGTAGGCATCGTCTCTGTCGAGGTATTTGTGTCTGGAAAGAAAAAGAAAACATGGTTTTATGATATGTTGAATACGGATCACCTACCCGCCGAACAAGGAAGCACGACGTTGCTGTGGTGGCGGAAGAACTGGATGGTTTTGCTCGCAATGGAGCACGTAATTGGTACCCGAATTGGAGTCCCAGTATTCGGTGCCGTTCGCTTTGAAGCAGATGCAGAATTCGATTTGGTGGATCTGATGAGATATGGGTAATTCATTCAATAGTTTTTCAAACAGACAAGCTATAAGAATTTTTAGAAATCGTCCGAACTCTAAGCGTCTGAATTTCTGAGATTCTGAGTTTTCGAGTCTCTGGTTTTCTTGAATTCGGAAATTCAAATTTTTCAATTTTTTCGATAAATGAATATTACGAGTTTTTGAGTTTTTAGTAATCAGAATTTTTGAGATACTGAAATTTTCGATTTTTCGATTTTCAGATTTTTAGTTTTTCGAATTCTCAGATTCTGAAATTCTTAGATTCTGAAACTCTGAGAAACATGGATGGGGAAATTGTGAGATATTGCGATTTTGAATTTCCGGAAGTCTTAGGTTCTGAAATTCTTAGATTCTGAAACTCTGAAGTTTGCAGATTGTCAGGTTCTCGGGATCTCGGGATCTCTGAATTTCAGACTCTCAGATTTTCTGATTCAAAAATTTCTGTGGTTCTGAAATCTTGAAATTCTATGATTCCAAATTTTTGAGACTCAGAACCTCAAAATATCAAAATCTCAGAAATTCGTGATCTTGTAAAATCGGAATTTCAGAATTCCAGAAATTCATTATCTCAAAATCTTAGCAAATTTGGGATTCTGAATCTTCGAAATTCCAAAATTATCCTATTATCAGATTCTGAGATTCTGAAATTTTTAGATCCCAAGATTTCCAGATACCAAGTTTCCTAGGTTCCAAAACTCTAAAACCCTATGTTTTGAAGTTTTAAGATGCTGAATTTTCACTATTTTTTGATGATGAGATTCCCAGATTTTTACGTCAGATTTGACTAAATTTAGAACTGTGTTATTTTTGAGTGACTCCCAAACAAGAAAAAATAGCATGCAGAATTTTTACTCACCTAGCTGGACTACAGTAGCCCACCATTCCCATCTACCTCTACTCCCACACTAACTACTCGAAATTTCTCCATTCACCCAACTCTCACCTTCTCCACCGAAGAAGGAAGGTCAATATCAAATTTGAAGCAATCGTAGACTTTGCTTGTAGACGGCTGATAGATGGCCGCTTTATCCATATACGAAATCCACCCGTTCATAGTGTATCTCACAAACACGCTCTTCTCAAATGCAATGTTTCCCACTTTGACGGTACCGAACACTTTGTAAGCTTCATTGTTGAGAATCACATTCTCCAAAGAAACTTTATTCTGAAAGGTTTTCTTTTAAAATTAGAAGCTTTCCGAGTTACTTACGCCTTCCAGGTTTTCTCTGAAGCGAACATAATCAGCAGCTGGCTGCTTGAACGTCAAGTTCCAGACTGGCGCTGGCTCACGAACCACAGCTTCCTCCTCTTCGAACGAGTCACCACGGTAGCGACGGAGCACCGATGGGCTCAATTTTGGAGGACAGTCGCTGGGCTCAGTAGCCACACGGATCATGGTCAGGTCTTGTCCACAATCGTCTGCGAAACGCACAGATTTACGGATTTTTTCCTCTTCTTGAAGCTCGAGTGGGCCGGCACAGAAAAGGTCCAAGTCATCGTTACCGCACTCACTGCTAGATGAGCTGTGCGATTGGTAGTCGCTTCCTTCATCTGGAAATTGTAAATATTTAATGGCTCGGTTATCATGAAACTACAGTACCGGTCTGTAAAACATAAGTCAACTACCGTATCAGACAGGTTAAACCAAACATGTTTGACAAAACTTTAAGGGAAATTGATGAAATCTACAGTAACCCAAAATTGGGGAAATACAGGATAAAAGTAAGTGATTAATGTTCCACCTTAAGCCAACTAGACAACGGAATCTACAGTAACCCAATTTTTGAAATACATTATCGAATTCAGTAATTTTTCCTTCTTTTCCTAAAATACAAGAGAGTATTTTTCAGTAGATTTTTGACCATTTTCATAACTCTGTACTAACATTTTCAAAGTGATTGAAAAATTTACAGCTGAGCTCTAGATTTTTGAAAATGAACAAAAAATCACAAAATCAACTGAAAAGTACGTTTACAGTAATTTCATTGTTCTCTGAATCTCCTTAATTCTTATCAAATGTTTTCTAGCTTCCTCGTTCTGCAGACACATTACTAATCAACTTAATTACCAGCCTAATTAGCAAATCAAACCTCCCAAAATAGCCTCAAGTTCAATGAGAACATTACAAAGACAATCGACAATCACCTTAATCATTTAAGAATCACATACCTTTTTCTTTGATCGTCGTTTCGGAGAGACGTTTGCGAACTGTATCCAAGTTGATTTGTGTCAGCCGCATCTTGTTAAGTCCCTCGGACTCGCTCTGCGAGCGGACCTGCAACGAAAATTGTTTTTTGGTGATGGGAAAAGGGTAGATCCAGTTATCAACAAGAGAGAGGAAAAGAAAATAATGGGAGAGGTTGTTTGTTGCAAATGGAAAAAAAACACTTATTTGTGTCGTTTTCTGGCGACAAGAAGTGCATAGTTCGATAAAAAAAAGCTACAGTATACCCGTTTCCAATCAGACAGAAGAGGACAATTGTGATGAAGAGTGTGTACACGTGTGTCTTCTTCTTCTATATCTAGAAAATACATACTTTCTCAAAAGACCCTTTGGTGAAAGAAGGGTTCGAAGCAAATCGTGATCTTTTGAACTTTGATTTGGAGATGATTGCAAAGGAAACAACTTCTTCTCTCTTTTTTTCATTTTTTTCCTCCCTCTACTCTTTTTGAGAAGCCCTGAGGCTGGGGGCCTAAGAAGTTCTGCGTCTCTTAAATTCGCGTCTCGTTTATTTCTTTTTTTGATGCGCCACCACCATTTACATTGTCACGAGCCGCCGCTCCTAGCGTATTCTGTTTTTGCACGTCGTCAGCCAGATATGCACTTTTTGAAAGAACTTACCTTCAAACTGGATGCCTGTATGGAGGTGTCACCGAAGAACGGGAAACTAGCCGCCCGACGACATCCTGGCGATGAGGACAGAACTGAGAACGAGGCTGGGGCCGAGTGAGCTGCGCATGTCTCCCATTCTCGTTCGCGCCCCATTTCCATCGGCGCCCTGGAACTTTAACAAATGGTGTTAGTTAGATGTAACACATAAGATAGAGTGTAGTATAAGCTCTAGAAGCGTTGGATATATATTGGTAAACAGCTGTATATATTGTATATAGATATTTAGGTGAGCAAAAATCAACTATTGGGAGCAAGATGCACAACAATAACAACATCAACAATCGTGGAAGAGAGCCTACACTGCAAACCAACCTAGTCAATCGAAATCTGAGCTCCCGGTACGCTTCTTCTAAATCGCCAAAACTGTCGACAAGCATGGAAATCGAAAAGCCCATGCTCGCCGCGCGGGGGTCTCAACCACCGAAAGAGTCTCAACTAACTCGGGGACCCTCGTAAAAAAGTTTTGTCTAGTAGCTTCAGGAGTTAGAAAAGGCCTAGAAGGACTTATCAAGAGAAGAAGAGGCATGCATGCAACACAGAGTTCTGAATCAATCTGTTGGGGCGCCAGGGACACACAAGCAGCGGGGAGCTGCTGCTGCTTCTTGCGGGGGCCATCGGGCCCCGCTTCTCTCTCTCTCTCTTCTTTTTTCCTTGAACAAGCTCACGTACACACACACTCGCATTCTCACTCATTCTCTCTATATCTCTCTCGCTTTTCCTACCACTGTGTGGCCTGACAATCTTCTGGGCTTCTAGTTCTTTTTTTTTCTTCTTAGATGATGGAAAACAAGGAGAGTATGGGTTTATATTTTTCTCTTGTCAGTCAGTTAGGTTTGACATGGACGTCTGGAAGACGTGCATATCGCACAAAACAACTGTTCCAAGAGGAACTATGTACTCGGAGCTTTTTGAGGTCAAGAATCTAGCATTCTAGAGATAAAATCAAGGGAAAGTACGTTATTCGGAAATTCAGAGGATCAAAGAAATAGTTTAGTCTAGCGTAGCTCAAATAGAAAAATACTAAAATATGCATTTTCAGAAGAATACATCTATTTGCACAAAATAGAAAACAATTCGGGTTTTTGCACTTACAGTACCGCTCAATAAAATATACAAAACGTGTTTTTGGTTCAATTTAACCATTTTCAACATCTTCGAGAGTCTGGAGCTTGGTTGTCAAGTTTTCTACCGCTCTGAAAACTTGGAAGTTCACAAAAACAGGAAAAAACGAGTGTCTTTCAGAAATCTGCAGAATGCTGAAATCCTAGGACATATCAAATAATTCTATGAATGCAAAGTTTCCAATCTAGGCCTGTTTTAGGTCCTCCTGAAATTTCAAAGTGATCTGAAATTTGACAGCAAAGCTCTGGAGCTCTTGAAAATGTTCAAAATGACCGAAAATCAACTGAAAACATAATTGTTTGTATATCTTATTGACCTATACTGTATATTTCAGATCAATATGTCTTATTTTACAAAAATTGTGTTTTTTAGATGTATTTAGCAGTTTCAGATCAATCGAGGAATTTCAAATCATAATTACCGTAAACACTCTAACAGAACGCCACTCCAACCGTCAACTTTGAGCTTATATATCTCATTCCCTGTAAGAGATATCAAACAGTGATTAACTGATAAAATGTTGCCAATGTTATGATAAATATTTAGTCAGTTGATCACTTCTTGGAAATTCTCACAGGAAATGAGATGTATGGGTTTAAAGTTGAAAATCTATTAGAGTATTTACTGTATTTTTTCAAACAAAACATAACATTTTTTTAATGGAAGATTGAAATAAAACTAAGATTTTGAAAGCTCTAAAAGCTTACAACAATAAAAATACATTGAAATCTAAAATAGACAAAAATAAAAACTACGATCAGATCACAGAAAAGCGCAATATCTAAAAGACTAAAGAGATAGAAAATTATCAATCTCGGTGTGTACACCATCACGGCGCAACAGACACTGGGAAAAAAGGAGACCCCCCCCCCCCAATGGGTGTACGTGACCAGCCGAAAAAAGGTGAAAGGCGAACGAATTGTCTACTAATAAAACTTTCTCACGTGGCAGAAGTCTATTTTCCAATACAAACAAAATTGATAAAACTTCTAAGAATGAACAGAGATGGCCGAAAGACGAAAAAAATCGTCGTAGAACAAATAGAAATGATACATATAACGTGAAACAAGGGCGAGAAAGAAGAGAAGAGAACGCGTATAGTGCGCAAGGACCTCAAAAACTACCTACCCGCTGTGTCTGCGTCTCTTCTCTCTAGTTACAACCATCACTCATTGCAAGTGATCCGAGAAAAGACCCGCGCATATTGTCTAGGTCAAATACCTTCGTTCTAAAGAAAAAGGAAAATTTCTGTTGGAAAAAACTGTTGCTACTTTCATTTGTTTTGTTTTTTTCTCAAAAAATGATACATGAGCTCACGAGACTCATCACCACGTGGTCATATTATTTTTTAACCTGTTTTTAAAATGATATCATTTCTGGAAAAAGGTTTTTTGCAAGGAGAAGTTATCTAATAAATGGGATCTACAGAGCTTCAAACGAAAGGATAAAATGCAAATTTTAGGAATTTCCCAGCTGAGCAATGGGCGTGGGAGGACAAGGCAGTTATCCCACTTGTCAAAAGGAAAGAATTTAGGCGGATAGGAAAAATGAGCAATCTTGCAAAACCACTAACTCCGAACACTTCACGCCACAATGCACATACAAACAAAAAAGGATGGGGGGGAAGAATGGTCAACTTTTTTTAACTTACGGGAGTTCTCTATGCTTAGCAGCTGTCAATTTTTCTAATTGAAGATAAGCTATGAGATAGATAAAATCTAATTTTGTAGTTTTTTTGACAAGCTGCTAGGGTTTTCAAGTAGAGAGGTGAGGAGGAAAAGTGATATCAATTGTTGTTGATGGAAAAAAAAGAACGGGAAATTGGTTAATAATAATAAGAAGATTAAAAATAAATAAGAGAGAGTCGCGCTTATTTTGTGGAGTTGAAAGTTAAAGAATCAGGAAACAAGTGAACGTTTTAGAAATAATAGAATAGAAAGGAATTGAGAGTGATGCTCTATTTTTGTTAAATTCGCTGGTATGGATTAATTGGGACGGATTTTCGCTAAAAATAGCTTTCATTTGTGGATTAGGCTACAGTTTTTGAAATGTGTAAGCCTTTTAATTAGTTTTTTGACCAATTCTTAATGTGACGATTTCGACTAGTAGACATCAAAAATCTATTTGCTTTATTTCCTCTAATAGAAACTCACCTTAACCGTAAACTTTGGACTTAGTTATCTCGATTTCTGTAAAAGATGTCAAAATTTTGTCAATTAATAAAATATTCATCAAACCATTAACTTTATTTTATTAGTTTACAAAATTTTGATATCGCTTACAGGATTCGAGATAATTGAGCTCAAAGCTGACTGTTCGGATAGGCTTCCAATAGAGGAAATACGGTGAATTGCTATTTAAAGTCTGAAGAAATACGGTATTACTTGTTGTCCAAAACACTTATTTCAAAGAAGACATTTTTATTATGCTTTACCAATTTTTTACTAGGTTTTAATAGGTTTTTGCTGAGTTTAAGCTCCCATTTTTTAAAGACGATTTTAACTAGTTTTGGCTCACGACTTCAAATATCAATTAACTCATTTTTTCTGATAGAAGCTAACCCAGTTCGTCGAATTCGAACTCTATTATCTTGATTCCTCTGAGAGATATCCAAAACTTGTCAACTGATAAAATACTTTTCGTGAAATCAGCAATATTTTATTAATTGACAATTTTTTGCTAGCTCTCGGAAGAATCGAGATAATTGAGCTAAAAGTTGGCGGTATAGTTTGGCTTCTATCATAGGAAATACGGTATTTATTATCAGTTAAAACTTCAATTTCTGAGAATCAGATTTTTAAAAATGCGATAAATATTTTAATAGTTTATGTCTACAATATTAATGTTGAGAAACAAGTTTTGTATTATCTGCTATCAATTTAGAATTGACTTTTTCAAAGTTATTTTTCAACAAAATTTTCAGAGCACTATGATTCATGAAATTGTTAAGAAAGAGTAGCTAACGATAAGAACAGATTCATCGGGGTCGAGAGTAGGTATGTGTGGCAGGTTCGGGGTGACAAGTAGAAGTGTGTGTGGGGAGCTCCACCCACTAATCTTCCCTGCTATCATCGAACGACCCCACCTCCTCGTGTCGAGACCAGCCTATACACGTGAACTTTTTGCAAGGGTATGCCCCGGACAATTAACAACCGTCTTGCACGTGAATCACACCCTCCGACAAGGCCCCCACCAACACCAGTACCCGCCAACAATCGCGGGTTTTTGATATGCAACACTGTGTGGCGGAGATACAATATACATACGTAGAGTTTATCGGGGCCAATGCCGTCTTTATCGAGAAGTATGGAGAATCAAAAGTGTAAATAGACTATCGCATTGTTTTGAGACAAGAAAAGCATAAAGGAGATTACTGTAGACGGCCACTACATCATTAGTTTAAAAAAGAAGAGGAGAGGGAGAATCAAAAACCGATTAGGGTTTTGCATTTCGAGTGTCAGGTTGAATAAATCAATCCCGCCGATGGATCATTCATTGATACCTGGGGAGAATGTTGCAGATGTCATTGCCACTAGAAGCAGTGGTCGGTGAGGTATTCCCCATATTCGTTCTCGTTAATCTTTTCTTTCCGAAACCGTCGTCTCAGACCAAATTTCACATTTGCAATAAAAGAAACCCCCATTGACCGTAACTGATAGCAAGGGAATGCCTCTTCGGAGTCTTTGATCGTTTCGTGAAGGTTAGAAGTTTGGAGAAGAAGAGAGGGATGGAATCTTGAAAGAACTTGTGTAAAGTATCTTGCCTCCTCTTGTTTTTTGTCGCGTTTCGTTTCTTTTTCTTTTCAAACGAGGCTCTCGGATTTCTTTCTTCTCACATTCTATTATTTTGGAACAGAGTTCAAGAGAAGTTGTGTTGTGGATTGATTAGGCGGGAATGAGACAAGTACTCAGAGAATATGATGGGTGACAAGTGGCAAGATACGTCTTTTTGAAAGATGTTGGTGTCCCCCCAATCATATGGTTGATAAAGAAAACTATATTCAATGCGCGTCTTCTAAAGGTTAGAAGGTAAAAAAATAAAGGCAAAGTTGAGAGGGTTGTTATGACAGTAGGATCACTTTGATGGACTGATTATAAAAAATCATTCGATTTTTAGGAGTTTCGACACAGTCATAACTACGGTAATAAAATGAACATTGAATAATAAAATTATTATTGGACTTCTTCGGGGTGTCGTGATAAGCAGTGACTGGAAAAGTGTTGGGAGCAGAATTACGTGACTATTTGGGGAAGCG